TGCTTGCTCTTTGCCTCACTCTGAGATTATTCCTCCATGGCTGCGCCCGGCTCTTCCAGAGCTGGTCTCCTTTGTGGGTCTCTGTCTGGTTGTGTTTTTATAGGTGGGCAAGGTGCAGTCTTCCACTATACCATGCTTCTGATGTCACTCTTGAGCTGTTGTCATCAGACATTTTACTTTTACACATGCTGTAAACCTCACAATATGTGGTCTTTGCTTTTGCTTTAAATGATGATTTCTTTTTTCCTTTAGTGCTGGTGTTCAAATCTAGGACCTTATGCATGCTAGGCAAGCACTCTACCACTGAACTACATCTACCCCATCCTAAAACAATGACCTTTTAAAAAAGTTTAACAGTGTTTAAAGAAGTTTTTTAAAATATATTTATCCACATGGTGATCATTTCTGCTGCTTTTCAGGTCTTTTTGTAGAGTCAGATTTCCTTCTGAGGTTGCTTTTCTTCTACCTCAAATACTTTAACATTCTTTGCAGTGTAAGGCTTTGGGTAATGAATATTCAGCTGTTTGTAAGTGAAAGTTCTTTATTTTGCCTTGTGTTTCAAGGTATTTTTGCTGAATATGAAATTTTATGTTATTTTTTTTCTCTCAGTACTAAAATCAATTACTCCATTGTCTTTGCATTATCTTTAACAACAAATACTTTGCAACCAGAATTTTTGCTCTTTTTTACATGAGTTCTTTTGGCAGCTTTATTTATTTTTTTATTCTTTTAAACAGATTGGTTGCTATGTGCTTTGGTATAATTTTCCTTGGATTTCTTTTCTTTGAATTCATCGTGCTTTTTGATCTGTTGGTGTGCAGTATTCATTAAATTTGGAAGATTTTCATTTATTATTTCTTCAAATAATTTTTCTTCTGTTCCCTGTCTTTCAGGGACTCTGATCACAAGCACATCAGTCATCAGGAGTGAAACAACAAACAGTTCCCTGATGCTCTGTTCACTATTTGGTCTTCCTTTGCTCTTGAGTTTCTATTACTTTATCTTCAAATTTGCTAATTTCTTTTTCTGCATTGTCTAATCTGCCATTAATCCCATCTGCTACTATACTTTTCATATTTTCCATTGTAATTTTCCTTTGAAGAAGGTTAATTTCAGACTATTTTACATCTTTCATATCTCTACTTGTAGAGTCAATCGTTTTTTTCTAGCTTTTGAAATTAAAGGACTGTTAAGGTTATCTTATCAACTATGCCATTTCTAGGCTGGGAGTTCCCTCACATGCCTGCAGTCCTGGGCTCCTGTGTGCAGCTCTCTGGACACAGAGCCATCCACATGCTCTAAGCTATGTCTCTTCATCTCAGGGAGGTGGCTGAGCCTGACTCCTTCTTTATACACTGCAGCCTGAAGCCTGCCTCAGGCTGTGAATGGTGCCACATAGGGGCCCACCTTACGTCTCATCTCCCAGCAGTCTCTGTCCCTCATTGCCTGGTGTCCAGGATCTTGAAGCCATCATTTTGTATATTTTGTCCAGTGGATATTGAAGTCTGTGTGGATATTGGTTATGGCTGCCAGGGCATATTTAAATAGGATGGAAAATCTAATTGCCTTTACTCCATCTAGGCTGGCATCTGAAGCCAGTAATTATATTTCCAGTTGATGTCATTTAACAAAAATATACTTTCACAGTAGAATGTGTCACAAGTTAAAATCTTTGATCTAGCAGTGTCATCTGCCTTTCCAGCCCCACATTGGAACCTTCCTTAGTCTGTGAATACCTTGATTTTTCTAGCAAATAAAATAGTTGACAGCGAGCCTAAGTACATTATCCTGGAAGTCATGATGTTTAAAGTAATGTAGACTTTATTATTTCATACTCTTGAGTCATGTTTGGTTTTTGATACCATCTTAGCTAAAATTATTTTAAAAGTTTGGTTTAGAGAAGGGAATTTGTAAACCTAGTCAGAATAGTGATTTAACCATTTCCAGAAAGAGAAAATATGTTCATCCTAATATTTCAATAGAATTTAATGTATGAGTTTGTTTTTTATAATGAGATGACTGTGTGCTTTTGGGCAGCCTTACATCTAAGTCATGGATATTTGCGTCAGCCATTTGTACAATAGGCCACGTGTGTAATTCATTGACAAAGTCCCTTTGCTGTCCTTTGTGTGCCAAGCTTCTGAGTGCTCTCCTACCACCTCCTGCAGAACACGAGTGTGCTTGCTAAAGGCCAAGTCCACTCAGCTGGGCTAAGAACAGCAGGAGTTGTCTGACTCACCTTGTGGGTGGAGTAGCCATCTCTTTCTTAAAATGAGGTTTTATTCTGTACATTAGTTCTTTTAAAGTATGAGTAGAAAAAGATTTAAAGAATTACACCTAAAACATTTTTGATTGAATCCTGGGGGTGGGGGTGGGGAGTTGTCATGCAGCTTTTTATGAAGAGTATTTTATTCTCAGCAAAGAATATGATGCAGGTGATGTGACCTTCTGCCCAGGTGCGGCTTGACTAAGCTTCTTACTTACCCTTTAACAAAGGGAACTTCTGAATGGGTGTATTTAGGCATGTAGTGTTTTAAAATTTGCTGTCCAAATACTCTTTTGCCTTTCTCCAGAAATACAGGTTTTGAAGCACTGTATGTTCATATGATAAGTATTAATAAATCAAAGGTTTGTCTGAGTGTGGCTGCATTGTGTTAAGTATTTTTAATTTGCTTCAAGTTTCAGAATTAAAGAGCTATGTGTGTTGTCCACAGTAATCTTTGTCAGTATCAGTTCAGCTTTTTAAGAAAAGTTGCAGTGGAAACAGCAGTTATTTTAGACTAGTCCCCAGGAGCTAGTATTCTGTCTGGAATCCCAGTACTCTATGGCAGCAGGCTCCTGGGTGTGTCTTTTTGAGGTCAACCTGAATGATCCTGGGAACCACACCTACTGCTAAAGGCTGTCCTTTCCCTGGACATCCCTGTTAGGCCTGGGCCCTGATTCTCTCGGATGCCGGGTCAAGTCCATTGAGGCGGTCTTAGTCAAAGCCCACCTTCCTCTTCTGGTACACCACCCATTCCTACTGTGGGCTTTCCATGACCTCACCTCTCCACTCCCATTCCACGTAGTGCTGTCACAGTATAGGGCAGGCCAAGTCCAGGGTGGTCGAATGACCACATAGCAGGTTCTGTTGGTTTCCAAGTTTCTTAAGATCAGCCACTGAACCATGGGAAGAAAACGTTAGACCTAGTATTTGTATTAGTAACTTTCAAAGTGTTTTATATTAGTAAATAGTACATATATAGTTTATGAATAACTAAAAGCACATGGTAGGTATATGGGCCCAGATTTTGTCTTTACTCAGGGCAGTATATGATCCACACATTGTTGGGCAGGTGAGACTGCTCTGGACCTTTGAGGCAGGGTTTTCATCCTAGGCTGGGACCTGTCAGTTCTTAACAAATAAGCCTCATGGAGTGCAAAATTTGGGGTGTATGTACATATGTGTGTTTTTCTAGAAAGGCAATGCATAACCCTTACCAGATTCAAAAAGGGATGTTTTGCTCTGCAGGTCAGATAAACTGCCAGTCTAGGGTCTTAGTTGAAATTACGGAGACTTGTTTTGGTAGGACCATAGCTCGTTTATAAGGTAACTTCCTAGGCTCCCTCAAAGTCTGCTTTATTTGAAAAATTGAAATATATAATTAGATACCCATTCCTTTAACAAAGTGAAGCTTTACTGGACTTACAGCTGAGATGCTGCAGCCAAGATGGCTGTCACCATCTCATAACAACACATGACAAACTCCACATACACTTCTGAAAGTTTCTGGTAGGAGTGACTACAGAGCAGGCTTGGATCCCCTGTTCTCACCCTTTTCTATGAGAGGGTTTTCTGTTGTATGTATGCAGTTCTGTGCTGCTCTCTGCAGTTGGCAAGGCTGAGAGTCAAGGTCACAAGTCAGCTGACAATGTGAGACTGAGTCAAAGGTATTCTTGAAATCACCTGTAGAATCCTTAAGGCACCCATATTATATGATGTACATAACTGTACAGTTCTGTAGATGGTTTCTGTTATTTCTTGTAATTCTTTGGAATTCCATTTTTTCATGGCTCCCTAGCAGCTCTTCAGTTTATTCCTTGAAGGCTCTTATAATCCTGTATCTCACTTGACTGACCACCTAAATGTTGGGATTTATTTACCTATGAGTGGTCAGAAAAATCTTGCCATTCACATTTTCTTTCCAGTGAGTACTGGACCTGGGGTGCATGCTCACTGAATAGAATGACTATTAAATTTTTTTTAAAAAATAAGACTTTTAAAAATATGTGTATAGGTAAATTTAAGTAACTTAAAAGCATATATGGCATAATCCCATTGCATTTCCAGTTTTGCCCTTTTGGTTTATAAACCTGTAGCATTTAATTCAGATTAATGATGTTTTATGGAAGGAAATTATCCTCTTTATTTATTCTCTTATGTAATCAATATTAAGATGTGTAAAGTGTTGCTCTGGGCACTGGGATTATAGGAGTGGAATAAAATTATTGGGGAAAATAGGCAATAAATAATCCAAAAAGAAAAAAAAAGATTTAAGTATTGTACACTGTGAAGACATATATACTTGGGTCAGAGGGTGCTGGGGCATCTGGCTGTTCTTGGGGACAGTCTGTCTCACCCCAGGAGACGGGCAGTGTGAGGATTTGCTTCTACACCCTCCTCAGTAGGACTCTGGTTCCTGTGGCCAGCTGCAGTCACCACATCCCCCCAGGCAAGCGGCACAGCAGCTTCCTTTTTAAAGGAGGCACGGATTCTGAGCAGGTGCTGGGCATTTGTGCCATCCTCTTGCTTGTTGCTTGCAAGTGACTGGTGTGTACAAGAAGCAGGGTGGGGCTGGCGTGGGTGGTTCCATTGGATACAGCCAGGCGTAGTCCGCAGCACCATTCGTTAGAGCATCTCGTAAGGGAGAGAGACCTAATTAGATCTTATTTGTACTTTATTTGGTAACAAATATATCTTACCTGACTTTATTAAGGGCTCTTTTATTTATTTCCAACAGGAATCACGAGATTTGATCTACTTGGAGACTTTGGAAGGTTTAATTGGCTGGGGAATTTCTATATTGTATTATCCTACAATTTGCTCTTTGCCATTGTGACAACATTGTGTCTGGTCAGAAAATTCACCTCTGCTGTACGAGAAGAACTCTTCAAGGCCCTAGGTAATCCTGAGGTTTATGGGTATTTTTCTTTTTGCTAATTAATAATTTTGACATTTCAGGTAACTTAAAGTCTTTCTTCAGTCTCTAAATGTGTGTAATGTGAGAAGTTCAGTTCTTGATCCACCGCATAGGGTTGTGACCTCTGTGGAGTCACAGTGTTGAGCCTCAGAGCTCCTGTCTGTGAAAGGGTGGGTGACTCTTCCTCCTTAGGGGCAGTGAAGACATATACTTGCTGAAGTGCATCCTCAGAGGGCTCTGCACACTGCCTGACACACTTACTCCAAGAGCCCAGTGGGCCTCCACTCCTTTATTCTCATGGTGATGGTGATGAGGATGACACTGTCGAACTCTTGTTTTCTGATAATGATGCCTTTTACTATTTCTTAAAACTTTTTTGAGGCTCAGAGTTTAAAAGTATCAGGATGACCCATTATTCTCTTCAATAAGTCAGACTAATTCAGGATGACAGCAGTGGCAGTCTTGGCATTGTCTTGGCATTGCCACACACCACGGGCATCATGTGCATGGTGACCATGGTGAAAACTGTTGTGAGCTATGGGTATACTTTTCATGCTTACATCCACATGAATGCTAAGCATACTTCAAGTTTTATATTTTAGGACAACCAGGACAATATAAGCTATCTTGGGATTGGAGTATGTAGTTTTAAGACAGAAGAAGGGAAACAGCAATTTATTGTATAGAGCTATAGAGAATCCTGGCATTAGCTCATTTTCCCAAGTTGAGACCATTTGAATGTTTATACTCAATATTACACTGTGGTTTTAGCTCTTTCAAAGGCAAGATATTGATTGATTCATTAAGGTCCAACTCTCAGATAACTTAACCACATGAGCAGCAGTAAAGCTGCTCACACCACCAACCTGGTGACCTTTGGGAGGAAAAAATGATCTCAGCCTACCAGTCCATGTGCATTTTTCTTTGAATGTGCCCTGTGAGGGCGACTGACTGAAGTACTGGCAGAAAGGAAATAGCTACATCTACTATCAGCCAGAGCACCAGGTAATTTATGAGTGTTAATGCCTAGGTTTCAAAATGCTGGCCAGATGAAAACTGCAAATGAAGTGGGACTCATAGAGCCTCTCAGTCAGCCGCCTGGAGTCGAACTTAAGGTGTACTTGTTTGCTCAGGAGAACCCCACTGGCCACTGGCTGGCTGAGGCTGTGAGCTGGTGCTGAGTGAGGGCTCTGGCTGCCTTTGTGCCGAGGCGGCCTCTAGTAGGCACACAGAGCTACGGGCTGTCACATGTTGGCCACTCTGCGTTGCAACACTTTTCTTAAGTGTTTTCCATTACTCTTTGGGGTGCTCTCCAGGGGCCATTTGGGCATAGAAGGAGGTCCTCTTTAAGTGCCTACAGTGTTTGAATGAGCCCCGACCTCAAGGGTGACTTTTTTAAAGAGGCAAAATTTGGTTCTAAAAGCTATCTTCTTTTTTCCTTTTATTTTCCTGTAGTCTTCCCCCTCTGCTACTATGTTCATTGGCAATAACAGTGTCCATCTCAGAGAACTCCTGGGACATATGGTGATGGTGGTAATGGGGGGTGGTTTCTGGAGCTGACCACAGAAAAGGGACGTGCAGGTTTTCAGAATGCATGCCCTGCACTGTGCCCGTGGCCTCCCTGCTCACTCAGTGGTTTGGCCATTACTGGGACCAGAACTGTTTTTTCTTGGATGGAGCCTGTTTTCCTTCCCATTCAAATGCCATACATAAGTTCAACTTCACTTTTTCTTTCCTTAAGATAAACAGGTGACAGAAATTTTTAAAATTGAGATTTGAGTGTTTAAGAGTGATGTTAAACTGCCTAACAGGAAGATTACTATCTGGAATTTTAGGAGTAAAAGAGTCTTTTCTTCATTCATTTTTGAAGTGTCAGAAAGGTCTGAGCTTCATGAAAATTATTTCTTTCTTGTAAATGTACTTTTTAGGTATTCTTATGTGTCACTGGGTTTCATTTTTGATGAAAGTGTTGGAGGCTTTCGTGCCACCTGAACTCTTTTGAGTTTTCTTACACCTTTCCTTCCTGTGAGGGCACACTGTTGTTTCCCGTGTCAGGCACAGTATGGAAGTGAGAGCACAGGATGCTAGAGGGAAGTCAATGTAACTGAAAAAGATGATGATTTTTATTATAAAATATCTTTTAGTGATGAAGTATTTTTATATTTGGTGGTTTTGTTCCTTTGTTATTTCTTTCTGTCCCTTTTGGTAATTTTTTCCCATTACTTTTCTTCTTAATTACATGCTTAATATTTCTGGTGTTTCCTTCGCTACATTTTCCTGCATGTGCATAAGTGCATGTGTATTCTGGAGGAATACTGGGGGTTGAACTTAGAGACACACATCCCCAGCCCTTTTTTATTTTTCATTTTGAGACAAGGTCTTGCTTAGTTGTTTAGGGTCTCACTAAGTTGCTGAGGCTGGCCTTGAACTTGCCATCCTCCTGCCTCAGCCTCCTGAGTCATTGGGATTGCAGGTGTGAACCACTGTTCCAGCTGTGCATGTATATTTTAAAATAAAAATGGGAACATCTCCATCTCAGGTTTTCTGGGAAGCATGCTCTGTGATGGGAATGAGCTTGCCAAGAGGAGATTTTATGGGGGAAGGGGGAAGGGGAGAATGGAGGGACTGTGAAGAGAAATTGAGCTTTGAAGCCTCTGCTGGCCCTGTGGGGAGTCATGACTCTGGATGACCCTTCAGAGATCCACTGAGGTAAGAAGAGGCCCCTCACACCTGCCAGTTGCTAGAGGCAGACTATCCTGGAAGGGGGTGTGACTTCCTTCCAGCAGCTGTCTTCAGCTGCCGCCATCCCCAAGGTGAGCTGCCAGTGGGGAGAAGAGATCCTTCATTCCTAGAAAGCATTTGGCCAGCACATGCAACTTCCACAATAAAATGGAATATTCTCTCCCCACAACCCCAGCCCCTTGCCCAGCCCCTCAACAATACATCGTTTCTCACCATTTTCTCAATCTCTCTGCAGGGCTTCATAAGCTTCACTTATCAAATACTTCAAGGGATTCAGAATCAACCAAACCTTCTGCAAATGGGCACCAGAAGGCACTGTGAGACCCGCAGTGGGTGCCACTCTGCAAACAGGATCCCCAGGGACTCCAGACTCAGGCCATTCCTGTCAACGCAGAGCACTTCATACCGACTTTGGTCTGTGTGTAGGGACTGGGCCTGTCAGTGTCATTTTCTTCATTATCCAAGAAACTGGCTATAACTGATCTTATTTTTTAAACTTAGCTTTCTGATGTACCCCATAGTTTCTAGTTAAACACAAGTTTTTCGTGATGTTATGGAAAAGCACACTCTTCTGCAGACACCTTTGCCATTGTCCAGACGAAAAGTCCCTACCTGGAGTGAACATGCGAGGAAGGGCAGATGTCCAGAGTTTCTGAAGAGTCACTCAAACCCCACTGAATGCTTTATTGAGCATTTAGAAGCCTTCAAAAGGCCCTGTTGGCCCCAAGTGAAGCTTCTTCAGAAAATGAAGTTTCTAAATTCTGTGTGGTTTTGTTTTTGTTTTTGAGACAGTATCTCACTGTGTTGCCCAGGCCATCCTCGGCTTCTGGAGAGCTGGGATCACAGGGGTGCATCACCACTGCTGGTTCATGTTTGTAGAAACTGCTTGTACCAATCATCATAGCAGTGGGTGCATTGGGCTGTAATAATTGCAAATTATATTTTTATTTACCAAAAGAAAAACAGTTTCTGATTTATGTTATAGAGAGTTCATTAGACTTTGAGCCAAGAGAAAAATACTAAATTCTTTTAAAGTTTGAGCCTTGGTAGACACCACAGGAATACCTTCTGTTGTACAGTATAGTAAGCTGTTACAGAGGAAGTACTAAGTAATTGTAACTAATGGACAGTTTATGTGCATATAACTCAAGTTACCTCTTGTGACAATTGCCAGTGGTGAGTACACTCATAACTTAGATTTTGCCTTTTATGCTACATGTACATTTAAAACTTTTTAAAGCATTTTTTTCAAAGATCACTTAATTTCCTGGCTTCTGTGACATTTATGAAAAATGTAAATGCTGAGTTCGAGAAACCCCTTCTCTCCTCATATTCTTCAGGCTTTTGCTACTTTTGTATATGCCATTTTAAACTTCCAACTTACAAAAGTTACCAGTTCAACGCTCAGAACTCCTAAAATTAGTGGTTTCCATGTTAAGCATAGGTTTGCACCGTCATGGGACTTGCCAGTCACTTAGACACTGGCAGGTCAGTAGTTGCTGGAATGGCCTCTTGACTCTTCAGTCCACAACTGAGACCACAAACATGATGCTCTGCGTTGCTGTCACCAGGAGGGACCCAGGGCTGTGCATGCTAAAGCACATGGCTGGCCCACTGGCACCAAGGTCAGTCCTGCACAGCTGTGTGGATATGTGTCACATGCACTCAGTGTGTGGCTTTAGGTTGTGCTCAGACAAAAGTAAAAGGTCATTTTTTTTTTTTTCAAATTGTTGAATTTAAAGTTTTCTTTGGGGGTAGGGAGGCGTTTTTGAAAAACAGTATTTCCACTTACCACCAAAATAATAAGAAACTTTAAACTATATATTTATAAGTTCCACTGAGTGTACTTCTCCTTTATTTATATCTCTACATTGCTTTTTGAGTTCATATCAATGAGCTTAGTTTTAAAATTAAAAAAACATTCATTTTCAGTTGTGGTTCTCAGCAACACTCAGTGTATACCACCAGTCTAGTAACGGTGGGATTTCTCAGCATAAGATCCACATGCCTAGAAGATTATAAATACCAGCTGCTTTCTAATTTCACTGTTAATTGTCCCAATTTTAGTATTAGTTGCAAGCTTTGATCTTACTGAAACTTGGAATTCATACTTTGAGCAGATCAAGTAAGGAGAGTACAGAAAAAAACTCAGGAGTATACCAAAATCATCTTTAACTTAAACCAGTTTCAAGGCACTTCCAAAAAGAGAGTTCTTGGATATTTGTAAGATGTATAAAACTTTTTTTTAGTAAAATATTAAACTTCTTAATGTCTGTCTCCACTTCTTCATCTGGAAGTCTCTTCCGTCTGAGAACTCAAGTCAGGTCTTGTGTGTACTGGGTTTTCAGTCTCAGACACTCGCTGGGTGTACTTTCATTGCTGTGGAGACAGGCTGAGCTCCAAATGGAAGGGTGGCTCCCCTGGGGTCCCTGTGCCTGTGACTGTGAGATACAGAGTTCTGCTGCACAGCCACAGTGCTGCCAGGCTCTGCTGTGGTCACACACACAGGGCTCTTCCTCTGGAGTGAGGTGTACACGAATGCAGGTGCTCTGCTGGACATAACGCTGGATGCTGGTTTGTATGAGAACCACACAAGTGGATGGCAGCTTGCCGAGGCCACGTGTTCCGAGTCCTGGTGAGGACAGTCACGCTCAGGGGCCTTTCTTTTATTGTAGTTGTATGCTGGAGGAAGAGAAGGAGAACAGGCTCTGAAGGGACAGTACTCCGAGTGCTCAGAGGTCATCAAGTCTGCAGCTACTTTGCTATTCTAGATGGACAGGGTGCCCGAGTGACTGCCTCAAGTCAAGTGGGGTATTCTTGCTTGCCTTTAGTTTTCATTTTATTTTTTTATTATTTTTTAAAGTAATTTTTTAGTTGTCAAAAGACCTTTATTTTATTTATTTATATGTGGTACTGAGAATCGAACCCAGTGCTTCACACATGCTAGGCAAGTGCTCCACCACTGAGCTGCAACCCCAGTCCTAGTTCCCATTTTAAAAGGTCATCAGGCATTATATCTAACAAGGTTGTTGAGGGGACTTAGCTTTTTATCGTCAATTGGTTCTATAATATTTAAGTGATTTTACAGTTAAAAATTTTGTAAATTATAACATTTGTATTGGTTTTTAGTGATTTTCTGGGATATTTCTTAGATTTAATATTAATGAACTTTATGTACGTCCTGTTTTAGAGACTTGCTCTAAACCAGACTTCATGTGAAATTGCACACACACAACACACACTGGTTCTTACATTGCTGTGCTGAGGGACTAGTCAGTGGGCAGGGAAGAAGTGTGGGTTTTCTGCCTCTCATGTGTATCAGAGGCATGTGTGCCCCTGCTTGCAGCAGCCATACCTGCCTGGCTTTGCCAGGTGCTGCAGACTATCCTTGCAGCTTCAGTAATGACTTCGTGGGCCTGTGGCACAGGGTCCCATTGTTTACAAGCCCCTGTGTGCTTGCCTGTGTTTAGCACAGTATTTAATGCACACAGGAAGAGCATACATGCAATACTAACTTTTTGAACTTTAAAAAACTAGTAGAATCTTTAAAAAGCAATGTTAGGAAACACTAGTAAATTATTTTGTTTGTATAAGATAGTTTGTGTGACTTTTAAAATGTTTTAGAAATTAAAGTTTTGTAAACAGTAATTTAATATTTGGTTTACAAATACTTAAGTTTATGTATTTTATTCTATCATGCCTAAAGCTTATTTACAGGCAAATTCCATTTCAGTTTTACAAAGGGCAATAATTATTCTGGTGAAATGTCGAGTAGAGGAAGAGGTGGATAATGTCACTCTCTTTTTGTTGTAGAGTTCTTAGTAGGTAAATTTGTTTGCAACCCAAAAATGAAACACCAGTAGTTGAAAGCATATGTTTTTTTTCTTTTTGAGTTACTGAAGCTAATTAGATTTATTTGATTTCTCTAATTTCTTTCCTAGGACTGAGCAGCTCCTGCTCGTGGTCTAGCCAGCTTCACCCAGAGTCCTGCAGAGGAAACGCTGCCAGCCTCTGTCGGCTCACTGGCAATGCACAGGGGCTCTGTGGGTTCTTGTCCACTATGAGCAGCACACTTCACTCAGTAACTCAGTTCATATGCTCAGTATGCGCTTTGGCTGTGTGTGCTGCATGCTGGTGTTTTCTGTTTTGTTCTAGTGTTATTTTTTTAAATACTAGACATGAACCTCTAAGTTAATTTCTCAATTTAGCACTGGATAGTAAACTTGAGTTTGAAAAACAACTTTGGAGTCTACTTTGAAAGAAGAACTAATGTAAAGACTTTTTTGTTTTTTTGTTTTGGTCTTTGGCTTTTGAATATTGTTAAGGCAAAATTCAATGTTACAAATACCAAAAGTACTGTATATGTAAATTACTTGTCACACTTCAAGAAATGTAATTAAAATCAGAAATGGTGAAGACTCGTGAATATGACGGGTGAGATTTCAGAACTGGATGATCTGTTCATGTCTTATAGGAGGTCACTCAGGCCACACACCACCAGCCTGTGAAGAGAAGCTTCAACTTCCAATTTAGGTGATTGAATTAGGAAAAAGTCCTTTTTCCAGACAACAGGAAAATCCGATTAGGAAACCAGACAGCAGTCACTGACTGTTGGGTGTGCCTTGGTGTTGCATCCGTGCTTGTCAGGGTCCTGAGGAAGTGGGGCCTCCAAGGGTCATGTGACAATCTGGGCATCGGGTGCTGTGAGTGGCTGCAGAGGACTCCTGTGCCAGAGGTGAGGCAGTTCGGATTCAGACGGGCCATGTCTCGGGAAAGTCAGTTGTGAGAGGCTTGTGAATGTCATGAAGTCTTGGCTTCTCCTTTGAAATGCTGCTGTGATGTGACTAACAATAAAGCTTAGGAGTCCAGGTGTACGGTGCAGCTGGCTCCAGTGGGCTCTGCCTTGGTGCAGGCTGGAGTGGCTCCCTTTGTCTTTTGTTTTAACTCTCACTGTGGAGTCTTATCACAAAGACTTGGAGGCGGGGCTGGTATAACAGGGCTTTGGGGCAGAGCCCATGAGCTCACATGCCCTCAGAACCTCCCTGTAAAATAAGGAAATACCCCCATTTTACAGGTAAAGGAACCCAGTGCAGAGAGCTGAAGGTGTGTAAGACCACAGTGAGCTGGAGAACTGAATGGCCATGGTGGCCAGTCCAAGTTTAGCCCCAGCCTTCTTGGTTTCTTGGTAACTCCTGTTGGCTTGTTTGGAATGTTCAGACCAGGCAGTCTCTGGAGGCGTCTCTCCTCCCACTGTCCATGTGCTGAGGGGTTGCCCGTCTCTGGCCTGAGACCCTCAAGTGAATGTCCTTTCACTTAGATGCAGCTGACACTTAGTTAGTGCAGATCAATGTCTGTGGTGTGATTATGAGACCAATCTCGTGTGTACTTGCAAAAGGAACCCGCTTTAACCCCCAACAGTGATGACAGGGTGTCAAGCTGTCACGGTGTCTTCTGTCTAGGTGCAGCTGCTGTGCTGCCCTGCGTGTATACCTGGACTCACACACAGATGTGACTTCCTTCAGCCCCACGACAGTGCTGGAAGCAGGCCCTGTCCTTCCACTTTGTAGCCAAGGAAACTTCCGCCAGGAATCCCTCTATGGACAGACAGCAGAGCCCTGTCATCTTGGGTTCCTTCAAGAACTGAAGCAAGGTACTCAAAGGCCCAATCATTTTTCAAGATCGTCACCTCGGTCTTGGGCGGGACCTGTTGAGGATGCTGGAGGCTCTTGTGAGACAGGCCAGCTTTACTAGTGCGGGCAAGTGTGCTTTGAAAGGAGGAAAACTGTTTTGACAGCTAGTAAAGTAAGACCCCACTCAGCTTGTCACCACTATCTGCCTCCCAGGTTTCCAGGTCTCCTGTCCTATGCTCTGGGGAGGCTGTGACAGGAACCTCAAGCTGCTGCTGCTTGCTGGTTGAGAACAGCGTGGACTTGGCAGACTCCCATGACCGCCACGCTAGAGGGGGCCCTGCAGTGGCAGCTCCTCCCTGGAATCGGCTTTCTCAGCACAGCTGCGTCTGTCCCATGGTTTAGTGAGGATGGTACCTCGGGTTGTGGTCCAGGTTGGAAAACAGTAACCACAGTGATCTGTGTCACACTTGCCAAGGGAGGAAACCCTTGGTTCTCCTGCTTGGTGGAGGGTGGGCGGGGCTTGTGTCTGTGTGAAGTTGTGTAATCTCCGCACCAGGACCCTGGCTGCCCTGCTGCAGTGGACTGGTGTGTCATACCCACCAGGTACACCTGGGCACATGGTTTGTGTTAGCTGTTACTTTTGGTCATTTATTTAAATGTTCTATATTGACTTGACTTTTAAGTTAAATGTCCGGTTTGTTGTAGCAGATCGTCTATAGCATAAATATAAATTTAAAAATTTTTAACAGTGTATAATAGCTGAAGCTGGTTGTTTCCTTAGAAGTTATATGGTCTTCGTCTAGTTCATGTGAGACTTCAAAATGCCCTCCGTTATCCTTATGGACACTTTCATTTGTGTAATTTCAAAAAAAAACAAAAAAAAAACCCAGAGTTTCTTCAACTCCAAAGAGGATTTTGGATTGATCTTGGGTAGGTTAAAAGACTGCCATGAGCAGGAAATCAGTTTTGAGTCTCAGTTCTGTATCTTCATCATGTCTCACCTGGCCAAGCTTCAAGTCTCATGTGTCAGACATTAATCATAGTTTTCTTGTGTGGCTTTGTCCTGGAAATGTCAACCATGTCCAACTCTGCAGAAGGCACAATACTGGATCACAAACACGTTTCCCCTGATTAATTTCATTCCATCTTAAACTCCAGTGTTTGTGTGGGGCCATGGTGATTCGGCGTGGTTGCCCAGGATTGCCTCACCTGTGACTTCCTGTGTTCCTGGATCCTTCCATCCCAGGAGAGGCGGGCTTGTCCTGTGCTGCGTGGCTGTGTGTGATAACCTCCTGATGACCGACCCACCTTGCTGCACACATCTGGGTTGCTGATACCTCCCCAGAATGACTTTCTGGAAGCAGAGGTCCTGGATCAGAGAGCGTGGCAGTTCTGAACAGCCTCCAGAATGGACCCTCGCACTTGCTGCAGCAGTGTGGAGAGTGTGGTCTGTGACTGGCACAGGCCTCACCAGTCCTTCCACACTAGTGGCCACTCCAGGCAAACATTTCATTGCTTTGCTTTGCATTTTTTAATATCTTGTGAGGGCAGATACTTTGAATACCAGAGCAACTCTGTTATTTCTGCTCTTGTGAATTATCATTAAACACACTAAGCCCATTTTTCTTCTGTTTCATAATTTCCTTATTTATGAAAATATATTATGGATGCTATTTGTCTTTCTGGTGTATCATAAGTGCTATCCTAATTTTTCAGTTTTTTTTTTTTAACTTGTTCACAATGTTTTTCTGAATGAAGACTTTAAATCTTGATGTCAAAATTTGCATATCCTGTGAATTTCTTGTGTCATACTTAAGCCTTCTCCACTGCAAGATTTAAAAATATGTTTACCCTAACAGTGAGAGACAATTCTCCTACCATGAAACCCACTCTTTTAAAAGCGTATAATTCATGGCATTAAATATGGACACAGGGTTGTACAGCCATCACCGCCATCAGATCCCAGAACACCTTCATCACTCCAGGCTACAGCGCAGTCATAGGCTCGTGTCTTTCCATGATGGACCACTGCGTGGCTAGACCCCTCTGGGGAGGAGTAGCAGGGTGTGTCAACTGCCACCTGCACCAGCGATTCTTCTCCCCTCCATGCTGCACAGCAGCAGGGCGGCTTTCAGCTGCAGTGTCGTGAGCTGAGCCTTTCTGCCTGTGGGAAGAGTGTCCCATCCCCTGCTCTGCCCAACTCCTGTCCTCTGTATGGTCCCCCTCCTCCCTCAAAGTCCTCTCTGGTCTTTCCCAAAGATGGCCTTGTACCCAGAGGGCGTTTCATGTCTCTGCCAGGCAATTTCTTGATTGGAACTGGGTTTTCTCCAGCTCACCCCAGATCAGCTGCGGCCTGAGGCAGGGAGAAGAGTCTGCGCCATCTCCAGCATCCCGTGGGTCAGACAGGTCCAGGGCCAAGCCTGGAGTCAAGGTCTGGTGAGTCCATGGGCCCACTGGAGGCCAGGGATGGAGGAGCCCATGGGCAGCACATTCAAAGGCAAGTGATGACAGTCTAACACGGTCTCATCCCTTTTAACCTTTCTCCTTTGAGGGCTTCTTCGTGGTCTAGTATGTGGCCAACTTTCACAGATGTTCCCAGCATCCTTAAAAAGACCCTCTAGTTTTTCTTTTTTTATGTATACATGAGTATTCACAGCAGTTTTATTCATAATAGTGAAGACACGTAAATGACCCAGATACCCAGTCAACATTTGTGTGGAGATGCATACAATGCACTCTTGTCAGACATTTTGTTTTCTTGATCTGTTTATGGTTTGACAAGTGAGTTAATTCCTTTTTCTGACAGTTTCTCTTGGCAACCCATTTTTGATTCAAGCACTGTACAGTTATGTTTTCTTGGTTCATAAAGATTCATGACAGTTATATCCTCATTGTGGGTTGTAACCTTAATTGTTATAAATGCCTCCAGCTCCACTAGTCTCTCAAGTATTTTCTCCTGCACTTGATGGTGGTTTTGTAATTGCCTCCAACCCAGAGCATGCCAGGCTCTTAATTATGAGGATTAAAGACAGAAGGGAGGTGTGAGGAGAAGGCAGGAGGAGAATGGGCTTCATCTTGCAAGGTGACCCAGGGGGCTAGCGCCTGCGAAGGGACTGCTCTGCCTGGCAAGGAAGCACAGGGAGACCCGGGACACAGCCTCACGCCCTCTGAACCCTCCCGCTAACTCTTATTTCTTTCTCAGTCAGTGCTCCAGTTTCCATCCGGGAGACCTAATGGGAAGGTGATGAGGCAATGTAAAGGTTTGCATGTCCTCGTGTCTGGACCCAAAAGCGTTGTGCTCAGATTGTCTGTGGAAGAGCTTTCTCCTCCTGTGCTGCAGTTGTTTCCACACCTCACAGGCTTGCCATCCCAGAAGGCCACTTTTCCATAATCACCTACTTGGTCTTTACTGTCACAGGGTGCCCAAGACCAATCCCTCAGTACTCATCTCTGATGGGGTCCCATGACCAATGCCAGACTTCTGTCCCCATTGACTTTCCTGAGAACCTGTTGCCTGCAAGTAGCACCAGGGAGCACTTGGTTGCAAAGAACAGAAGCAGACCACCAGCCAAAGCAGGAGTGGACTCGCTGTCACCTGTGCTCTGTGCAGGTTCCGAGTCAGGGCAGTGCAGTCACTGCCCACGGCCTCGCTGCAGGACAGTGCCCTGCCTGTCAGAGCAGGAGACACATCTGCTGCTTGGGCCTTCTGAGTGAAGGAGTGGGGCTCTGCGATGTGGCATCCCCCTGCTAATTGTACAAAGCATTCTCCAGATCAGTCTCTAGATTTTGTAATGTCATATACCCATCATAATAAAGGGTTTGAGCAAACCCTAACATGCACATTTATTCACATATAAATTAAAAGAACCATGCCAGAGTGTGAATGTGCCCCAGTGAAACCCATTATTCCCCATAATTATATGAACCAAAAGTAAAAAAAAAAAAGGCTGAGATGAAAATAAACAGAAATATGGATGGTCACTTCTCTGGGTTAGTTTGGACCCTGGCATGTCACATGCTTGGCAGCCTGCCCCTCTGCCACCCTTGGGCCAGGCTGTGCTACTTCTGCACATAGACCCCACCTATCGGCCTGGTCTGTCTTCAAGCAGATCTACCAGGGGTGCTGTCAAGGAGCTGCGGCGCTGGCGGGCCTGACGGGTGGACCCTTGGCCTGCCTCACTGCTCTGTTGGCAGGAACTGGGTAGGGTCTCCTCTGTGCAATGCCACTCTAACTGGCCACTGTAAATAACCAGCCCCTATCCACGGGGTCTGCATCTGTGGATTCAGCCAACCTGGATCAAAAATATTCAGAATAACATCTGTACTGACCACGTACAGATTTTCCTTGTTATTCTTCCCTGGCGGGATTTACAGTGGTGATCTGAAGCATTCGGGATGCTGTGCAGGGAGCCAGGAGGGCGCTGCAGCCAGTCTCCACCTCAGAGACAACTGTCAGTAGGGCTGCTTGGTCAACTCATGTCGCGGATACAGTAGTCTGTGCTGTTCTGTCACTAAAGTATGACTGACTCTATCGAATAACATGGAATATTTTTATTTTATTGCTTTACACAAAGTTCTCAACTACAACAGCAATCTATTACCCAAAATAAAATGATTATTACAAAGTAAGTTTAGGACCAACAGACTGTAAGGTATGTGTTGGTGGAAAACATCTCTAACTTAAAAGTGTTTCAGTTTCTCAGCTTCTTGGTCAGACACTAACTGTATTTTAGATGACAGAATTCCTCATTTTATTTCAAGAGATTAAACTAAGGAATCTGATATTTTTTAAAATAAATAAAGGCTAAAACCAGATAGGTTGGTTGACAGGTTTTGCAATATAGTTATATTTCTTCTCTGTAATTACAAAGAGTTGTCACTGGGTTAGAAATGGCCCTGTAGTATTTAACTCAAAACTCAATACAGTCCTTAAGTTTTCTCCTCAGAACTATACAACTTTTCAACATTCAAGAATTTTCTTTTGGTAGCAGGAGCGGCAGAGAGGACACACATGGAAGGGGGAACGATCCCCCACGGAGAACTCCTCCAGAGCCTGTAGGCAGGTGTGGTGGAACAGGTGCGCACAGGACAGGAGGACTGTGGCCCGGGGACGGGGACACGGGTGGCTGCTCGTCCCCAGGGCTGCTTGTACATCAAGGGAGAGCGGGGTCAGGCAGATGGAGCACTCGCAGATCTCCCGATGAGCAGCCTGCAACACAGGGTGGACAGGTTTGTCCTGGGAGGTGGTTAGTCCCATCAGGCTAGATGCACAGACCCGGAGACCCGGAGTGAATCTTCTAAAGGACCAAGTTCACCCTGTCAGATGACAAATTATAGGCGCGCGCGCTCACACACACACACACACACACACACACACACACACACACACATACGTACACACGTGAAATGGAAGAGATAGTAACCCACTTGTAACAAGCAGTTTTAAAACAAAATTACTTTGTAAAATACTGAGCATTGATGATATAATAACATGGTTCCTTCTAATTAAACAATAAAAATAGAAATGTTCACAATACTTGAGTCTTTGTAACCACTAAATCTCCCTACACTTAGGATGTGTTGTTTCCCCCCATGGCTTTGAGTCATGGGAGGCCTTTTCTCTCTGTCCCTGGGTTCTGTGAGTGCAGGAGAGGATGCGGGGGAGTCCCAAAAGACCTCTAGGAAGAGTTCTGGTTGCTCAGCAAACACATCAGGCAGACGGCATCTAAGCGATTTCACCATGAAGGGACCCTGGCAGCCACTACCTGGCTCATAAAGGCCTGCTGTCCCGTACGGGTGCAGGTCCAGCTAGGGCAGGCCTCCCAGGCTCCTGAGTCCTCCAAGGACCCCTGTGGAGCTCCTCCTGCCCTCTTGCTCACCTGTGCCTCAGTCCACTCCTTCAGGGGTCACTAGGCAGTCCAAAGCCTACCTGCACTTGGATCTTCTCCCAGTCCTCTTCTGTGAGCTCTTGCCCACACTTTTCATCCAACTGCTGAAGAATGCTTCGGTTCACAGCCAAGCAGTGATCGATTTCTGAGAAGAGTTCTTCTATGTTGGTGTCGTAGGAGCACAGGATGCGGTGACTGATCTCTATGAACTGGGGACGGAAGAGGCTGTCTAAGAGACTGCAGGCTGAGGGGAGGAGCTTCCTGGAGTCCTAACCACCTGTTTACTAACTTGCCTCAAGTCTGTGTCTGAACAATGCTTTTTTGGGCAGTAACTATAAATCCTGGCAATCGTTCTGGACAGATGACTAAAAATGTCGTGATGGGGTCAGGACACACTACGCGGAGATGCTGCAGCACCTTGACATGCTCAATAGTTGAAGGAAGGTGTGTTCCTTCGTGAAGGAGAATCAGCAAGTCCAGGAGAACTCTGACCCCTGCCCCTCCCCTGCGGTCAGGATGAGTGCCCTCGTGTGAGGGCTCCGTGTACCTGGAGGACAGGCCTTGCCAGGTTTTTTCAACCTCTGCCCTGTCATTTTCCCTTCTACTTTCCAGTCTTCATCTATCCTAGCAGAACCCCTGAGCTTAGCTGTTTGCTCAGAACTTCACGTCCTCAAGAAGGCGCCCATGTCACGTGTCTCCTGGTCATCTGTCTTGTTATTCTAATTTACCAGC